ATATTATATTATATTATATTATATTAATAACATGCTAGATTCAGTGCTTAGTGTTTCCACTAGTAATAACCAGTAGCCCAAATGTAATGTTGACTTCTTTTAGTGTTCCTAGTGAGTCCCTGGTTGCAACTTTTATTGCTCTATTAACAAATAGCATCCTTGTGACCTAAAATAGTTAACATGTTTTCCCATCCCAGCTTTCCACCAGAAATGCCCAAGAGAGAAGAAAAAAAAAACAAAATAAAATTATTGTCTTTGTCGACAGAAGATATTTCCATTCACTCATGAATATAAGCACAATAATTTTTATTTAGAGACATAAAAGTTCCCAGATATCTCAAGAATCAATTTCTCTAAATTAGAATATGTTATCTTCCCTACATGTTTTACAGATTCTTCACTTACTAGGCAAATACAAGCCACCAGTAACACAGCAGGTTGGTTCATAAGTGTAAGAAGATTCCAAGAGTTGTGGCCTGGGAGGGACATAGACCAGAGGCCTACAGACTCTGGGCTCAGGGCTCTGAAGTCGGCATTGGCTAGATTCACATTCCAGAATTTGGCAACTCTGGGACACAAAGGTTTTGGGTGGACAACTCTTTGCCACATAACTTTCAAGTTGGCAGCTCTGGTCTATAAAACCCATTTGCTGGCGGCTCCCTGATGGGCAAGGCTGGGAAACATGCTCCAACACTGCTGAGGATCTTCCTGATTGGCATGCTGTCCTTTCATAGGGCTTGGAATTAAAGCAAGTCATTTGGACCACTCTGGGGAGGCAGGCACTTTGCACACAGCTCTCTTTTGTGCACAGTTCTTGCTCACAGCTGGGCACTCTGAAGCTGGTAGTTTCACTGCAGCTTTCTTGAAAGTTGTCTAGGAACCAAGTCCTCCCATGGCAGCTGCTGGGTAAAAACAATCCATCCTCAAAACTTCTGAGATTAGACCCATGCACGATGGCAGAGAGTGGAGCGACACTGTAGACGTTACTGAGAGAGTGGCAGTGGCTCTGGGGCATACTGCTGAAACCTTGATTGAAGTTCATCATAAGGACACAACAGGCCAGATCTGAAGATTAGATTCTCTGCTAGGGAGGCTATATACTAGGAGAACTGGGTGTTGGCTTCCTCTCAAGACTCCTTTACACCTCATTGCTAAATCTAATTTAAAGGGTAACATCTCATTAGCACTTTGTTTAGTTATAAATGGAATGACATCTTATTAACGAAGAAGCCAGTGCATTTCGAATCTTCAAAATGGCTTTCATGTTAGCCCCAAAGTTGACTCATGAGGGTGGTGTTTGTCAAATATGAGTCCCAACATGCCAACCTAGCTGTCATTTTTTTTTCTGTAGTCACCATAACTCTACCCATATTGGACAGTAAGAAATGTATGTGGAAACAGCCAATTGAATATTGATGAATATTCAGGACTGGAGTTTTGGGAGCTGCCCCTTGACCCAATATGATAATGTGATTAAGACATTTTTAGTTAGAAGCACATCCTTTTGGACCCAACCCCATTTGACTCAGCTCTTGGTCTGTCCAGTTGATTAAGATTTGAGAAAAGGACTCTACAATGAAATACTTTCTTACTGTTCACCCAAAGTATTGGATGTCACCATTACCATTACGCTATGAACATATTTGCCTTTTTATAACATTTTGTTCCCCTCATCTTATTCAGGACCAAATTTAAATATTACCTCTTTATGAAGTTTTTTCTGATCTTCCTATTTAGAAGTTATTACTTCTTCCTCTGAATTACCAGTGGGTTTTGACATATTCTTTATTATGATTGTATTTTATACCTAGTAGTGCGTTTACTTCAGTTTGTGCTTCACAAAGTTGATAATTTGGCCTTCTAACAAAGCTGTTTCAGATATGCTGGTCACTTTTGTTTACTCAGTGCTGTTTTTTGGTTGCAGAATGATGATCAGCTCCTACATTTATCACATTAACATGCTGTACTTAGAATAGATTCATACTCGTAGCACAGGATCCACCAATACAATTTCTAGGACATATTCTATTTACTTAGCTCAGCTTAGGACACTGAAACAAAGGAAGTACACTCTTAGCACAGCCCTCTGGTCTCCCTTTCTTAGGTCTGAAGAAAGCTAAAACCACTAGGAATTTGGAACAATTCCTACACAAATTCCCCCTGTATATGTGATGGACTGGGATATTATATATATAAAAGGACACATCCAAATACATTCAGCTTGACAAGCTGTACACTCAACTTGTATAATATACCTTTGGAACACGCGTAAGTTATTTACGATTTAGAATGACCACTTCTGTGTGATGCAAGATCGCATTATGCCCTTCATGTGAACTGACCACAGCCCATTTAATTCTTACACGTATTTGTATTTTTCATTGCACAGAGGCTTCCACTGTAGCTGGTGACTCTCCTGTTTGCAAGTAGTAAATGGATTCTTCTGGCCTTTAGAATAAGATCCATTTTCCTTAGCCTGGCCTACAGCATTTTGCAAGACCTGGTTGCTGCCTGTTTTTCTATTTCCAAATCTTATCATTTCCTTTCACCCAGTATGTTCCTTTTTCACAGACCTCTGTTCAGCTCCTTGAGCATGTCAAGCCTTTCCTGCATGTACAAAATACTGTCTGTTTCATCCCTTCATTTGCCCTCTTTTACTCTATATGCATCTCCTCTTCTTATCTTTCATGTCTCAGCTGAAGAGTTACCTGTGATAGTGGCTTGCATCTATCACTTTAAAAAAATTTCTTTCTCAGGATCTAATTTTTCTTTCATAGAACTTATCGCAGTATATAACAACTTTAGTTATTTTTTCATTGTGCCTTTGTCACTACAGTGTGAGTTCCATTAAGGCAAGAAATATGTATATCTTTCTTTCTATTGATCCCCAACAGTGAGCATGATGCCTAGCTGGCTTTAATAACAGCTCCATAAATGTATTTTGAAAATAATGAATAGAAGGTAAATAATAGAAGATGTTAAACAAAAAATTAGATTCAAATTATAGCTAAATGTCTAAAGGGATACAGTTCTGAAACCTTGACGTACCCAAGATTTCCAAGAATTGGTAAGGGTACAGAGCTTAAAAAAATGATAATAATAACCATTCTTACCTTTCAGTTACCCCTTTCTGAAATAAGAACAAAATCATTAAGGAAGCCACTTGTTAGCATGACACAAGCTGAGTCAATTATTATAAAATACTGTTTGATTATACACAGGCATGTTTTTAAAAGCTTTTTACTGTGAAAAAGAGCACCATTTTTCACCGTCAGCAGCCAAATTCTGCAGCCAAATTCTGACAGGCAAAGGCAAAACTTCACCCAGGCCAGCATTCACACAGTTGTCTTTAGCAGACGGCCTTCCTATTAACCTCACAATGTGTAGTAAATCAATGAATACTTGTGCAGTTCCAAATCTCCAAATGTCAAATAGTGACTTCAGGTCTGTCATTTGTGAATAAAGCCACTCCATGAGTTCTTTTCTCTTTGGGCTGAAACATTAACTTGCACATTCTATTTAATTGAATGCTGAATTAATTGGTGTTTCAGCAAGCAATCTTGATTTAATGAGTGAACACAGATTTTGGCTGGTGCTGGATTTATGGAGAGTGACCTTGCTTACTTATTACCACAAAATGACGTAGACTAGGACAACTGGTCACCTTGCAATTGTTTTCATGCAACCTACCAAAAACTATTAACTTTGTAAACACTTGAACAATGATAATTATGTAACCTATCTCCTAGAATTCTTGTGAAATAGGAAGAAATAGTTACCCATTCCTTCTGGTGACTGGATATTTTGATACTAAATGGTTGAACAATTCCTTGGTCTCTTCTGGTCTTGAAGTATGCTGTGTTTGCAATTGCAGTGTCACTGCCTAGCCACCAGAGGGTGGAATATCAACATTTTCTGTGGAGAAGCGATTAAATCCTAAGGGTTCCACAGACAGGAGTCTAAGCCAAAATCTAGTCACAGAGTATAATCTTGAATGTTTCCCTTAAATGCTTTGATTTCTTCATTTTTAAAATGAAAATTATGAGAGTATTGATCTCATGATCTAGTTTTACTGATTAAGTGAGATGTTGTATATGAGACCAGATTGCTAGTCACATATTTAGTGATAAATGGATGAAAGTTATAATTATTTTTTATCTGGGATTGATAGAAAACTGTAAAGTAAAATAAACACCGTATCATTTGCTTGTGTTTGAGATTATGTTGTTTGTATTTGTAAATGTTGCACGTTCCATTCTTTTAAGAGCTGTATTGTATTTATCATCCCATTAAAGATCTAGTTGGCCTGTCTCCATCTCTGAAGATCTTGGCACTTGGTGGTTATAAAGTTGAATAGTTTATATTGTTTTTATATTTGATTATGTGGCTATGCTGAACTTCTAATAATTTATTCAACTATTTTAAAGTAAAAAGAAAATGGAGTCATTCTTAAGTAATGTAATTCACCTTAGTTCCCTCATAATTTATCTTCTCTATTCTTGCCTTGGTTTTTTCTCACCAAACAAACTGATGCCAGATCACCTAAGTTAATTTACATCCATTCTTCTTCTTCAACCAGAAGTCACTCATAAAAATACAGTACTTAGCAATGGAGGAATACTAGGCTAAGTGTCAAGAAATTTGGATTTTAGCCCTGGTGTTTCTATTAATTCACTGCATGAATCTGGACAAGTCATTCTGCCCCTTTGAGTATCTTATAAGATAATGAGTTTAGATGAGAAGATCTCTAAGGTCCTTTCCATCTGTCACAGTCTATGATTGTCTATCAGAAACTTAATCTCTTAGGGTTGAAAAGGATATTAAATGGCATCTTGTCAAATCTACCTACTGAATGATATCCACACTTCCATGTAAGCCATCTAATCTTACTAAGATTACTTGTGAAATTTGTAACAAGATAGATGAAAAACTGAAGTCAGTAGACTATTAGTTCTCATGCATACTGGTAGAAATCCCACTTTTAAGTCAATAATCCTATTGCACTTGAAAGTAACTCTGAAAATACATAAAAAAGTGTATTTTCCTGGCCAAGAACACAGGAGTGTGTCAAGGGGTAATGAGTAACTAACTTTAGATATAGCAGTCCTGTAAAATAAGTCAAGCATCAATAACCCTTTTAGGACACTTATAATACATAAATGTTTGTTCCCTGGAATACTCAAGATAATGGCTCTATGACCATAATAGTGATCTCATATGGAATATGGGAATGATATCTTGCCAGCTTTCTCTGTTTCTGATGATAAATAAATTCTCTTTTAATATGATAATAAAAGGATTCACATTTGATATCATTTTTTTCTCTAAAACTATCTCTAAATAATTTTGCTTCTTAGGATAATCCTAGGTCATTTGCAATTCAATTATATCAGACTTTGATTCAAACAACCAAAAAATTTTAAGAAGTAAAGAAAAGTTAGAGGATTACACAGTGTCTATGTAGCCCTTAACGTGTAATTGCAAATAAGAATGAAACACAGTATCTTGGCCATTTGAGCATCAACTCCCATATTTTCTCCTTGTTCCATTATGTCTTCAATGTGAGAATATCATGGTTTATTACAATAATTATACTTGCTTTTGTTCCTTTCCCCAGATGCACTTACTGTGGCCTGCCTCTGCACTTAGCTTTTAGCAGAGTTATTTTTCTGCCTTTGTGTGATCTAGAAATGTGAATTTGTTTTTGAGTTCTCCCGTGTCCTCGGTGGGTACTGCGGTTGCGGTAATGTGCTGTTATGATGGTGCTAAATCATTTTTGCTGATAATGATCACCAGAGACTGATGACATTGATGACAACTAGCTTATCTAAATAGAGTTCAACCAGCAAAAGTGAATGCTTGTTTCATGTCATTGACATAATATATCCCAGAGACTGTCATGTTAGTTCCATTTCTTTCAATCATCTATTCATTTAACTTTTACTGAATATTTACCACTTGCCAGATTCTGTTAGACAATATTCTACTGTGTTCATTGAGGATGTAGCAAGGACAAACAAATGCACAAATCAAGCAGTGTTAATTAAATGAA